TAGCTGAACAATAGCTAAAATGGGGGATAACTAATTATTTAGTTACATGCAACTAAAGAGTAAGGTGCGGCAAAAAAGAGTTATCTAAATTTAAAAAAATAGATGCGAATGTAAAAATGTGTTCTATTTAGCTAATTTTTAGCTACAGAGCTAATTAGTTATCCCTGATTTAGCTATCGGTCCAGCTAACCCAACCCCGTACCGGCTCCCCGTCGAACCCCCGCAGGGAGTATCGCTAGTCGTGTGGCCACCAGAGGGCGCACCCCTTCAGCGGGCCACCCTGGTTGACGCATTACCCCCCGCTTCACTGCGAGGGGATGCGACGCTGGCGGGCTGGAGCTACCCCAACTGGAGCTACCCCGAGACGCTGCGCACGGCGCTACCCCACGGCCTCGACGTGGGCGTCCAGGAATATTGACGGAGATGACGAGCGCTCCCGCCGCCGCCGGCGTGGCGCCAAACATGATCCCGGGCGGGCCAGATAGGGCACGTCTTCGCGGCCACCATATTGCTTTTCGCATTGCAAAGCTGCAAAGCACGATATGAATAATGAATAAGTAAAGAAGAGGGCGTCCTTCCTTCCCTCCGCCCTTCGCAACGCATTTTGGTGCGGCTCAGCGCGCGGGGTACCGCCCGCCTTAACCTGGGCCTGACCCTGACTGAAATTTATAGTCGTAGCTCCATTTAGCTTCCACGTGAATTTTCGAAGAAAAACATCCGTCTGATGCAAGAGGTGTAATGCAGAGTCAAATGAATATTGGAATGGGTTCCATTCATTAAGTCAGAAATGTCCGAAAGTGGGGCCTTGACAATTCAGCAGGAACCCATATTTCTTACGTTTTTGAAGTTTTTGTACCTTTTGATGACATTATTCCAATTGCATTTAGAAATGGCAGTGCAGTGCCTCCGGCACGTTTAAATTCCTGCTATCATCGAGTCATAAATTCCGTGCTACATCGTATTGTATTTTCCTCCAACTTTGTTTTTGTCTTCAGTGTACACGCACACATACCAACCAGACCACACATTCCACCCGCATCCACGCACCAACATTAACACTCGGAAAGCCCACCACCTCTAACTTGTTAATAGCCCCGAAAGCGCAAACGTGGAGTTAACTTACTGTGGGCGCTAAATGTAAAGTTTGTAGCTCTGTCGGTCTGTACGCGAGCCTCTATATTGGAGGCACAGTAGAGTGGAGACTCAATTAAAAGCGACGCAGCCAAATAAAGTGGCAAGCGGCCTGCCCGTCGCGCTGCCGCGGGGGCGCGCGCGAGCTAGCAGCTGGCCGGAGAGAGAGTCTATTGTTTTGTTTCGCAGATAGTTGGTTGAACGGATCCCACCGAACTCGCACGGAAAGCGCCAGGAGATTGGGTAGGTGAGTTGGGGTACAGGTGGGTGGGGGGAGGGTGCAAACCCGAGAAAATACGCGGAGAGCCAATCGGTTCTCGAGCCGAATCGTCTCCGCATTGCTCAGGTGTACAGTCGTCGAATCGGGAAAGTCTTTGTCTGGTCGCGTCTGAGTCGCTCCTTTGTACTCTTGCGTCTGTATTGCTGCCTTGTCTTTTCCTCTTCGGGCAGATGTTTTCATGATTTGTTCCTTTTACTTTTTTTACGCCAAAAATGATGCAGAAAGTCTGTCAATAAATGTATTTATTGTAATATTTTAGTACATATGGACTATAAATAATTGTTTAAAAAAGTTTGAATCGTGTTAATGATACTGCCAAGTTTACAGCAAAACGTCCACAGAAAACACTTCCTCACACACAAAGTTGAATTGGTTCAACAAAAAAAATGTACAAAGTTATTCATACAATATTTGTTTTTTTAATATATACACTACTTACGGCTAAGTTCACAACATCACGAGATTATTCCCAAGGTCCTGGACACGGCCGAGCGCCCGTGTAACGAGGGCCGGTGATCGACCGACCTCATCGATAATGCATCCGACCCAATAAATTTCGACAACGCGCCGCGCGCATCGCAAAACCCCACCACCCTCGAGCGTGACCTCCCCGAGGCCTTCTAATTATTCATTGCGCCTTAATGAGAGGCAAATTCGTTTAGGTAATCCCCAGAAACATTAACGCCGTTCATCAGATCAGAAAATGATCATGTTTTTTAACTCTACTTTAAGTACTTTACGACAGAGTTTACTTCTTGGATAGACTGGCCGAGTTCAAATCATTCATAAGCGTTTACAAACTAAACAAAACTGCCATCGGTCTGGAAAATGTGTGGTGGGGGGAGTCTTATCCCATCAGCCGTGCCGTGCCACTGGTCACCGCGCTGATTCCATTGAGACACTGCTAGGCCGGCGCCAAGGGAAATGGGGACGGGTAAAGAAACGGGGGTAGCTCAGAGGGATAAGTCCGGCCACGTGGGAGATCCCGGACGAGATCAGGAAAGAGGGCCTGAGAAAGGGTTGAGAAAGGGGTGGGCGGGGCGGCGCGGCGCGGCGGTATGGTGGGAAGGAACACGGTGGTGGTGTCGTGAGTGACGTCAAAGGAGGAGGCGGAGGCGCGGCGGGGCGATCAAGCTCTGTCCGTCCGGTACAGCCCACACTCAGACGCGGGAAACTTTGAAATGAGTATAGCATTCATGCCCATTGCACCCAGGCCGGGGGCCGCGGCGCGGGAGGGTTCAAACTATAGAAGTGGGGCGGGGCGGGGGATGGCGGGGCGTGCGGCGGCAGCACGGCGGACCGCACACCGGCTGTGACGGCGGTGACGACAAGGTGGGGAGGACGGCGCTCAAAGGGCGGTGGTCTGCCCGCAGAGCGCAGCAGGTGAGGCGGCGGCGGCGGAGGCGGCGGAGGAGGCGTTGCCGGCGGCAACCACTCCGTTGGCGGAAACAGGCGAAGGCGCCGGCGGGGCCCGCGGCGCGGGCACGGACCCGTTCACACTGAAACACAGCAGCAGCGGCAGCACCGCCCGCTTAACGACCTCCACCTCCTCCTCCTTCTTTTCTCTCACAACCCCTTCTCCTCATCTTATTTCCAGCAAACAAGTTCAGGCAGGGCAAGATTATATAAAAAAAGGCAAAAAAGGCAAACAAAAGAACTAAAAAGTTGGAAAAGCAGCGGAATTAGGGGCGGGCGTCTTTTAATTATTAATCACTGCGGGCTAAGTGTTTTGTTTCTTTTGGCGCGTTCTTACTACTATTATTCTGGCCAGAGCTGCAGAAATAAAGGGGACATTTTTCACGGTAGTGTCGCTCCAGATGGTGTTAATAGCGCCCCCGGCGAGGGAGGATGCGGTTCATGCGGTACCACCCACGACATGTGCGCGAGAGAGAGAGAGAGAGAGAGAGAGAGAGAGAGAGAGAGAGGGGGGGGGGGGGGGGGGGGGGGGACTAAAAGACAAGAGAAGAGGGCACGGGACAACCCGTTTCCTACGCGAATTACTGCTGGAGGCGCGCCGCAGTCCTTGCCCCCCCCCCTCTCTCTCCCCCTTTCCCTTTCTCTTCTCTGCGTGCGCAAGTGGATTGCAATTGTTTGGCAGTTGTTGGTGTGCTGCCGGAATTGCGGCGCCACTACACCAGACGGCCCTGTACCGTACGAGACAATCGTAGTTTTACTACTTTTTTGGCGCTTGGTGTGCAGTTATATGAGGATGGAGTTGCGGTATGTCAAGTATTGAACGCCCCTCTCCCAATTAGTATATTTCCCGCGGGATTGGTACCCTCCGTAAAATTCAAACCGCATTTAAAAAAAATGGCAAACAAATAGAAAAAAAAAAAAAGAAAAACGACGGTCAAAAATGAGGAAAAACAAGTTCGATGCGACTTACCTCTTTGCGCACTGGACGCCTTTCCTCCGGCACCAGGGACCCAGCGCCAGGCGCCAGGCCGGGCTGAACAGCTGCCTGAAGGTCTGCCTGTACTGCCGGCTCATGGCGCAGTACAGGATGAAGTTGATGGCGCCGTTGAGCAGTGCCAGGATGTCGAGCGCCTCGCCGAACAGCTGGTAGCATCGCCGGAAAAAGCACCGGCCCAGCACGCCACTCATCAAACCGAGCACGCCCTGCAATCGGGAAACGCAAACGTCATGAAAAAGCAAAGAAAGAAAATCGTAAAATTACGAACTCGAAATCGTAAATTATAGTGTTATCTAGCGATGGAAAATATGCAACGAAATTTTGGTTTCGACTACCCAAAATAATTTTTGTTATTTTCATGAAGTTGGTCCACAGACAGTTTGAGTAGTACACTCGTTCTAAGCAACAAGCTGCGTGAGACTGAGTTTGCCCACGTTGACGCCCCCGCGACGCCGCGACGGTGGTGGCCACTTCCAAACAAAGGCGTCAGAATCGACCTTCCAAAGGGGGGGTGGGGGTAGGGGAAGAATCAAACCACCGCCATCCAAAGCTTCTACCCCTAAAAAAAACGCCTACAACAACCAAACGCAAATTCTTTCCCTCTTGCCTTGGCTACAAGAGATCGGTGAGGACTGGCAGAAAGAAACGGGTGCCGTGATTCCCCGAGAGAGAGAGAGAGAGAGAGAGAGAGAGAGAGAGAGAGAGAGAGAGAGAGAACTGGGAGGTAAAAAAGGATCAATTCATCGTTCTCTTTATTGGTCGGTTTGTGGGAGCACCAGGCTAGGCTCAGGCAGGCTTGGGCTGGCCCGCACTCCGCACTGCACCGCCCCCATAAACCGAGGTTTGAGCCCCTCTCTACAAGGGAGTCAGGGAGGGAGAGAGCGAGGATTGGCGGGAGGAGGGAGAGCGGGTGCAGCGGGGGCGGACAAGTAAAAAAGACAGGACACACGTGAATAGGGACGCAACGCCAACCGAAGAGAATATGCACTGTCGTAAACTTTGATGCCCAATAAAGTGAAATGTATTTCATGCTAAACTTTATTTTGCGCGCTCTTCTTTTCCGACGCGACCGCTGCCGCGGGGGCGTCACTGCGCGCCGAACCGGCGTCGCCCGCATCGCCGTCATCGTCCCCGCGCATGCAAAAATAATACATATTCGTTCACGTCGATGGACGGCGGTGAGAAAAAGAAACAAATAAAAAAAAACAAAAGGACACCACACAAGAGCTTCAATTTTTCGTGCCAAAGAATAAGTTAGCGGCGGGCCGGGACTGCTGTGCGGCGCGGCAGTGCAATGCGAAAGGCCCGACACAACTTTGGGTCCCATTTGGCGCTCGACTGCACTTCACAGCCGGGGGCCGGCCGGCGTCATGTCCTCTTCTTTTTTCCCTCCCCACGTCCAGATTGTTCGGGTCTTTTCTTTTTCTTTTCTTTGTGTGTGTGGGTGTGGCGGTGGGAGTGCGCGGGTGGGGGGAGCGGCGATGGCACGCGCGCCCATACCCAGCACGCTGCAACCCTTTTTTTATGGATATCCAACTGTAAAACGCACACCGGAAACGCAAGTGTGATGTGAATGTCATACACCTGTAAGAGTGTGAATGCCCATTCGTACACTTAAGGGTGTGAAGGCGTGAATTTTCCATTGAAATTCACACGCTTGTGCCCCCATGTGTCGTTGACACCCCTACAAAGTGCGCTACAGAATGCACTTATTTGGGTCTCCAGCGGTTTCCAGGGTGCCTGTGACTGCAAAGGGTCGATGTGGCGGCTGGCGGCGGTGTGCGACAGGTGCGTGCGAGTGGCCGCCGCGTGCGTTTGTGTGATCATCCCATTTATTCCACTCGCTCTCGCAAGCGCCCCACCACACACGCCTGCTTGAACATCAAACATAGCCCGACTTTTACGCACATGTATACATATATATGACAGTTCCAGATAGCGAAGGCGTTTTATTTTTTGTTTTGTTTCTTTCTCTTTACATCCGATTGGAGAGCCGAAACGAGGTGAGCGCGTGCGTTACACACCGTCAGAAATATATTGGACCAAAGTACGCTATAATGGAGAGGAGGGGCCCGGGCCTCATAGAGCTCGATAAGGAAACTCTGCTGTGTGAAGGTCGGGGTAACAGGCATTTAGCAGTCAGAGAGACGGCCTCTGTTTACCTCCGAAAATCAAACAGCGGGCGTATGGCTGGCTGGTTACAGGGACGGCCACGGGCAACCAAGGGAAGGGTGACCCTCACCCAAAGCTGAACCCCTGACCTCCTCCACCTCTCTATCCCTTCTGCTACCAGCAGCAGCGGCAGCAGCAGCTCCGCTACCGACATCACTGTCACGAAGGGTTGGCCACCCTGCCGCCGAGCTGAAAGTCACCCCAGCCAATCGCTCCCCGGTGTAGCCGAAGCGCGACAAATGAGCCCCTGCGGCTTCTCATGCCAATTGCGTGGCTCAACCTCCCTGTGATATACCGCAGGTCTCTGCAGAAATGATCTATGGCCTTTTGCATTTCACAGCCAAGAAAAATTGATTTCTTTGTTTCACGTACATTTTGTTGTACTAAAAGAATTCTGAAAAAAACAATTGTCTCAATCGAAAGGTAATATCATCTCATGTACATGATGGTGACGTGAAGGGTAAAATTGGTCTCGGTTCAAAATGTACTGAAATAAAAAAAAATCTGGTTGCACTAAAACAAAAGTATGAATTTAAAACCAAAACTTGTTTTTGCCTAGTGTATTGAGTGTTTAAAAATGATTGCGACTTGCTTGGGCGACACAGTCCTGTTGAAGTACCCCCACCGAGCCTTCTCACAAGCAGCCAGCAGAGCCTTGTCGCCAGACAGAGATTGTCCGCCAGACCGGGTAGAGACGAGCGCGCGCCCCTCCCTCTCCTTCCCTTCCTAATGGGCGCACATTGTGCCTGCCGAGCAGCGTCTCTCGGCGCGGGTATTCCAACATTTTCGCGAAACCCCTCAGAGCAACAGTAGGAGGAAAATTCCCCCCCCACCCTTCTCCCGTTTGTGCGCAAACGACACTGACGAGGAGGAGGACACGATAAGAGGTACGTAATCCGATAGACTCACCGCACCGACGGCGGCACATTATGTCCCCCATCCCAAGGCGTTACTACTCGAGCGAGCAAGAGAGAGAAGAAGAGAGAGGAGAAAAACAGAGGTACGCTTCTTTTGTAGCTTGACACCCTCAGGTGAAAAAGGGGGTGGGGGGTGCCAGTAGGCTTAACAAGGCCACACTGTGAGGCGACTACCCTGTCGATCAACAGCACCCCTTGCCTCGAACGTGTTAGCGGCGCGCGTAGCGGTCACCGGTCAGCAGACCATGTCATGTAGCCCATCCGCCCCCACCCCACACTACCCCCTGCAGAACATCAGTGAACCACCTCGTGCCCTGTACACTAGAGCAGGGAGGCGGGGAGAGGTGGAGAGAGTGAGACAGAGAGAGGGGGGGTGAGGCAGAGTCGTGTGTGTGCGTGCGTGAGAGAGTGTAGAGAAGGGGGGGCGGGACCGGGTCTAAACTGGAGAGCACTGTCCGTGCATGCCGAACTGTTGGTAGTTGTGTTGCCTGAGTAAGCTATGCAGCGCACGGACTAAATTACAGTCCGGAATGCCCCCAACTCTCTACACTTGGCGAACAGTGACCACCACCGCCAAGCCTCGAAGTCCTTGAAATAGTCGCGTACTCGTACTCTGTGTAAGTGTGAAAAGAGGGAGGGAGCGAGGGGGAGTGGGTGAGAGAGAGGGAGAAAGGGGGGGGGGGGACAGTTAAAATAAAGGATCAAGCGAACGATGTTGTGCAGTTAATTAATTCACAATCTGCCGACGACTGTTAAATTTGGTAATTATTTCCAGGAAAAAGGGGGGGGGGGGTAGCGTGGCGGGGTGCGGGGTGGGTGCGTAGCACAGGGTCGAAGGAAGACAAGCGTGTTATCGTAGGCATGCAACCTTACACCTGCATGGATTTCACGTGTCGTCTTTCGTGAGCATGTAAGGGCCCATCGCACCGTCCGCCCTTCTCTTTTCCCATTCTTCCTCTTACTATACGAAACATGAAACTCCGTAGTAAGGCAAGTTCTATTAAAGCGAAGAAGCTTAAAGTCTCCAGTTTAACTCGAGTGTTGGCGTGTAAATGGGATTTATCGCGGGGGAAATGTCATCCAAAACGGATGGGTTAAAGATGTCCCATTTTGTATACTTGCAAAATTTCCGTCGGCAAACCCAGAACGTAAAAGCAATGGGAGGACATAGGAAAGACGTGAGATCAAGAAAAGAGAGAATGAAAGAAAGAATCAAACTGTGTAACCTAAGCAGCCTAAAGTCTCTTTGCAGAATATTTGCTGAAGAACGGAGTACAGCTGAGCTGGGTGGAGATGAGGTAGGGGTTGGGGTTGGAAAGGGGAGAGGGGACCGAGACCAAACGGACGAAATGAAACGGGGTTATAGCGATCATTGAAAACTCCACTCAACGGCTCGGCGGCACAGCGGCGCGAGGCAGGGCACGCGGAGGGCCAGAGGCACTTGTTGAGCTTGTGTCTTGGCTCGGCGGCCCGGCGATGAGGGGGCGGCAGGAAGGCGAGGGGTAGGGGGCAGGCAGGCGTGGGGTAGGGG